ATGAGCCTCGTGGATGGGCTCGGCGGGCTTGTTGTCAGGTCTTTTTTATTCTATTTCTGGAGATGGGCACTTGATTTACGTAGGCGTTGGTTTGGAGGCGGACTCCCTATCCACCTCCAAAAAATAGTTTTGACTGCTTGCGAAAATCTCTTCATTAGTAGTGTAGAGGGTAAAGGTACAATTAATGAACTACACAAGTAAAGCAACTACACTACTCTAGTCACTAGAGAGCTACCACTACACAAACTACAACAGAAGCAAAAGTAAGGAATGTAATTGCAAGTGTAGTATAGAAAGAAAACTGTCAGGATCATCTCCCTTTTAAATAAACACCTAACCCAATAGTCTTCCATTGACTACTAAGTTAGATAATTCACTTAATTGGTCATCCCGATACCCCCCTATAAGATGTACTATGTCCGACCTTCATCCAGGATAACGCAAGGGAAAGGAAGTCATCACACATCACAACTAGGTCATATTACATTACGAAGTACTTAAGTTTACATCATAGTTTCAAACTTAGTTCATAACTCATAGAGTACTGTCAAGCAACTACATCATCAGAATACTAGCAGAAGTCTTTCATCAACATAGTTTTTGAAAAGATAACTAATGTGTGGGAGCGCCACATCCACACATCTACGAGACTCGATATCTCTACCAATCTTGGTTCTCGTGGGACTCTGGTCTCTCTAGCTAATGTATGACTGGACCTTGCTAACCACTAACATGGCAATGCGGAACCATCCGAGGGTTCACGTATGACACTCCACAAAAGTGTCAGGTTCAGTTTTAAATAACATAGATTTTTTTTTTCAAATTAATTAGCTTCTAGAGAGGAATGATACCAAATGATGATCAGATTTAAGTCAAATGCAACTGGTTTGTTACAATCCTTTTTTGTATCCGTGACATGTGTCAGCATTTTTAAAGTTTTGGTTACTTGTTTTTATTTCTTCTAGAATTTTTGTTGGTTATAGTCCCATTCTTGAAATCGTGTTTGAGAATTCCTGGTGGAAAAAGTGTAATATGCCCTATAGCTAACGATATAAACCAGTAAGGGCTTGTTCGGTTACTCCAGATTGAGTGCCTGGAATGATTCCTGGCCGGATTGGTTCACTAATTTATAAAGCGTTGATGAACTGGAACAGTTCCAGGGTCTAATCCAGACCAAACGAATGGGGCCTAAATGAAAACCCAGGTTCAAGTGTACATACATACAATAGAACTGAATGTAAATCTGTAAAATCATTATACGAAAGAAAGCAAGTATATACATCTAGAGGGAAGACACCAGCAATACATCTTTTAAGAAGAAAGTAGTATGGGGCTTCTCCCCTTTTGAGATATGGCAAAAGGTAGATATGTAAATTAAAAACACAAAAGCATATATAGCGAGATACACGCAATCAACTATACAGAGATTACATAGCTTGTGGAAAGAATAGATAGTCATGGGGAGAGAGACGCACACAGAACAGGCTCTTAGATTTCAACACATGTCGTCAATTTTTATCTCTGAAAAGCAGCAAACGACAAGTGCCCTACTTACAGCTGGTTTGCGTATTTTAGTGACCTACATATCATCAGATGTTGGGCGAGACTACTGAGAGGAGATTAAATATCTTTATAGGATTCTAAAGCACCAAACTTTAGGGCCTAATGACCAGGGGGAGGAGATGCTCATCATCTTTGATCTCTTGCTTGCTGCTTTCATCATGCCTAAGCTTTTTCACACCCCGGTCAGTGCTTTGATATGTATGGCAATGTTGATTTGGAGATCTAAAGCACGAAAAGGAGGATCGTTATTTTATTCTTTTTTTCTCAAATGGCATCACACCATACACTAAAAGCATGTACCTTTTGGTCATCTCTGAATGAGAGATTGCAGCTCGCTCGTTGCCTTGTAATATAAAGTGCCTCCTACTTTCTACAAACCCGAAGTCTTTATTCTTGAACCATACTACTACTTGGACAACACCATCTATACCAAAAAATAAGCAATGATCACTACAAATACCAAAACATTTGTGTTCACACGAATCTAGCTATACTGCTGAGAGTCCAGGAGAAAAATTAAACCGCTATATACAAGCAACCTCATTGCAGTTATTACAACTTTGAGATTTTCATGCATTAAGTGAAACCCTTCTTAAATTAAATAGTGTATATTACTATGAGAGCTACAAATACCAAAACTACAAATACTCAAAGTTCCAACTGAAACCTGAAAGACAGTTCAATAGGGTATAGTACTATGAGGGGGTTGCTATATTTCTAATGCATGACAATTACACATTGTCCAAACAACAACAAAAAATCAAACTGAAAATAAATATAGTACATCTATCGTTTGTACAAGCAGTGGGTAATAAGGAAACCTAGCCCATGATTGCACAAGCACAAGCACAAGCATGGATTTAATTTTGTCAGTATGTGGTAAGGATTTCAACAAAGTCCACCAGAAATCGGACAATAATTCATGCTTGTCGTTGCAATTAAGTAAGTTATACTCCCTAAATTGTAAGTCATTCGGGGTATATAGCTTTTTACAATGCATTTAGATACATGCTATGTTTAGATTCATAGCTTTTACTATGTATCTAAATACCTAGAACGACTTACAATCTGAAATGGAGAGGGTACAACTTTGAGTACTACGTCCAACAAATGTTCCAACAGAATCTTAAAGACAATTCAATAAGATATATTACTAGCTGTCGATGGTTCAAGCAGTGGGGAAGGAAACCATGCTGATCAACGCACGGGCATGGGATTAATATGTCAGTATGTGACTGCGTCGTGTCAACGAACCAATCTAATTAGATCGCTTGTATATATAGAGACAAATGCAGCTGCTGCTTTGTTGAGTATAGTAAAAGATATTTTTTTAACTTTGACCATGGTCCAGTAAAATCTTTGTGAATGTTTAAATTGACATATAACATTATCATTACTATAGTTCTCAAACTATATATATTGGAATTGGAATACTTCCTCTAGTCACAGATAGCCCTCAAATAGCCCTCAAGTTATTTGGTTCATAATCTCCTTAATTTTTTATTAGACCTATAACTAACTATATTTTAATAGAAAAATTATGGCCAAAGTTAAGATAAAAAAAAGTAAAAAAGGACTCTCCATATATATGTGACTGGAGGGAGTACATGTGACCACATATGTCCGTATTTTGTTTCAAAAATATATTAAAATGTTATAGTAATACTTTGTTAGTCTTGTACTACTACGGGATACAGGAGCTTTACTGAGTGCTAGGGGCACTCGGCAAAGCCCCCAAAACACTCGGCAAACCGTTTGCCGAGTGTTACACTCGACAAACGACACTCGGCAAACGGTTTAACGGCAAACGCTATTTTGCCGAGTGTTTTTTGTCGGGCTTGCCGAGTGCCCCAAAACACTTGGCAAACATTTTTTGAAAAAAATAAAAAAAAACAAGCACCAGCCACCGGCCGCCACCACCACCTCCTGCTCCGCCGGCCGCCACCACCACCGTCCTCCCCGTGACGCCCGACGCATCCGCGCTACCTCCCCACGGTCCCGTCGGCCTCCTTGCGCAGTCCTCCCTGCGCTGGATTGGAGTTGGGAGAGAGAGGAGAAAAGCTCGCCGAAACCCTAGATCCAGGAGGAGGTGGGCCTACCTCGTCGGGGTCACCGCACCACTGGATCCGCGCCACCGCCATGCCGGGGTTGCCGCACCAGGCCCGTCTGTGCCAGCACTGCCGCGCGCTAGGGTCAGCTGTGCCGGGCCACCGCGCCGAGGGCCTCCCGCCGCCGTCCATGGCACCGTGGGGCGCAGGGAGGAGCGTGGTGGGGCGTGGGGAGGAGTGCGGTGGGGCGTCGTGGGTGGGTGTGGTGGGTGGGCGTGGTGGGAGGCGACGGGGCCGGATCCAGAGGGGAAGGGCGGCGCGGCGGCCGGATTCGGGGAAATCCGGGAGGGAGGGAGAGAGGGAGGAAAGGGAGGGAGGGAGGCGGCGGGGCCGGATCCGGAGGGGAGGGGTGGCGCGGCGGCCGGATCCGGGGCGAGAAAGGGGGCGACGCGGCGGTCGGATCCGGGGAGAGAGAGGGGCGGTGGGGAAGGAGAGGGAGGGGCTGGCCGCCGGGGAAGAGAGGCCGGCGCCGGGGAAGGAGAGGGAGGGGCCGGGGCCGGGGAAGAGAGGGAGGGGGAGGGCCCGGCCACCGGCGGGAGGAGGGGAGGGGCCGGCCGCCGGCGGGATCCGTGGAGGGAGCGAGCTAGGGCGAAGGGAGGGGAGGGTGGGAACGGGAGGGGATTTTTTATGCGGCGTGTTTTTTTTTGTTTTTTTAATATTTGCCGGGTGTTTGTTTTTGATACTCGGCAAACCCTCTCTTTGTCGAGTGTTTATTTTTGACACTCGGCAAAGCCCCTCTTTGCTGAGTGTGTTTTTTTGACACTCGGCAAACCCCCTGTTTGCCGAGGGTTTTTGTTTTGCCGAGTGTTTTTAGCACAGCACTCGGCAAAAAATTTATTTGCCGAGTGTCCGAGGGAATGCACTCGGCAAACGTAAAAACACTCGGCAAATTTGAGGTTTCCGGTAGTGTACAGTAATCTTAAGGTGATGAAGCTAGCGCAGTGGGATTATATATAGTGAAATAAATTAAACATGGAAAACCAAAGGCGCTACATGTACACAAATGCATGAATCTCCAGAAACGGTCCAATCACAAAAATCTGTATCATCATATTCATATCTAATTTGATCAATAGTTTTGGCTGAAACAGTATCAGAGTACGCTGCCGGCACTGTACTACGGTTAGAGGATTCCATTTCTTTTATGAAGGGACATGATGATGGTGTCTAGTCCTTGAATCTGACATCTATACAGGAAACACGGTTTTCCTATATATGTTTTCTTGAAAGGAATATATTCAAGAACGAAACAGCAGAACAACAGCAACAGGTGAGATTGTGTCATCCAATGAAGCAAAACTAAATCCATTAATTATTTCTAATTTAATACTAGAAGAAGAAAACACCATCCACAGCATTTTGGATCTCCATGACATTATACGAAGAACTCCCTTCATCCCCTTCGCCGTCAATGGCGCCGGCATTCAAATCCAAGATGAAACGTGGCACAATAACTCCTTTCTCTGCGCCATCATCTTCCACTTTGCTGTCATCGTCACTCGTGATGATCCTTTGCTTCACAGGCCGTGGGGAGGAAACCCTAGGCGATGACATCGACTCCAACACTTGACAGCACACTACGATGGAGTCCTCCAAGCTGACCACACCACCATCGCAACCCCTCACGGTTCCGCTCGCCATGGCATACATGATGCCGGCTTCTAGTTCCGAGTCGTGCTCGACGCCGTCGAACAGCACGACACGGTGAGGGCTCTCGCGGATCGCCTCGTAGAACATCTGCATGCAGCCGCCATGCTCGTTGCCCGGCGACCTATGCCTCTTGAGGCTGCTGTGGTGACCGCCGGAGCTGCTGGAACCGGAGTGATCCGTGTCCGGGGTGAGCTTTGATGCTGCTGCGTCGATGCAGGTGAACTCGGCGTAGGAGCCAAAGACAAGCCTGGCGAGCTCCCGAGCCATGGCCATCTTGCCGTCGCTGTCCCTCCCTTGGAAGAGGAGCCACGTCGCTGAGGTCGGCCGCGCCGTCCTCATCACGCCGGAGCGGCGCTGGAGCACGGCGCTGGCGATGCCCGGAGCTATATCTCTGTGGCGGGGGACGCGGGACTCCAGTGCGCTGCACAGGATCTTGAGATTCTTTGCGGTGAGCTCGGTGAACTTTGGACGGCGGCGGCGAGCCGTCGTCGTGCCATCCGATGAGTTGGATTTATTAGACACCGAGTTAGAGGACCCTGAATTAGGGTTTGCGAGCGACAGCTGATCGTGTGGCTCCACCATCGGACCATCGTGCCGGCGGTTCAGCAACGGTTGCCGCCGGTCCATGAGATCATGCCATGGCTCGCAGCTCTTGTTGGTGTCGGGATGGGTAAAGCCACAGTGGGGGGAAGAGGCCGGAGAGGAGAAGCTCAGTGTGAGCTCCGATCCAGTGAGGACTGGACGTACTTGGCAACGGCGAATCCACGAGGGGACGCTCGCCGCCGCCGCCGTCGCCACGACCATGCCGGCGCTGCAGTGTGTGACCTCACTGGAAAGAACAAATCAAGAACACACGTTGATGAATGATGAGTAACCGAAAATAAATAAATAAATAAATAAAGTGGTCAAACTGACGCATGCACGCGATGCGACACAACTGATGATGATGAAGGATCAAGCTTGTGGCGTACCTGTCGCCGCCGAGGCTCAACGCGAGGCCGCCGTCCGGCACGACGACGGGGTGTAGTCCCAAGACGGTCTCCAGGGAAGGCTGCCCCGACCTGCAGCTCGTGTAGGACGCGGAGGCTCCGAACCCCAGCAGCCAGAACATGCCCTTGTCGCGGCCGCCGCCGCCACGCACGAGGCTGCTCAACTCCATGACCGCGTGCTCGACGGGACAATAGTCGATGAGGCCATACGCGCGTTGGTCACTTCTCTTCCACGACGCGGCGGTCCAGGCCTCCGCCGCGTAGCCGAGGTCCTCGAGCACGAGCACCACGCCTTTGCCGGCGGCGCAGCACTCACGCACGAGCGCGCACAGGTCGCCGGCCCTTGCCTGGACCTCCTCCCTCGGCATGCGCTGGAAGGATGCCGCCAAGAAGGGCACGAACTGGGCGTTCTTGAGGCGCTCGTGCTGGCGCCGCAGCTCCCCCTTGCTCACCTTGTCCATCACCGCCTTGACCACCCTCTCCGCGGCGGCGGCGCTCTCGCCGAGGACCACCACGCACCGGTTCGTCCCGCTCGCCATGCAGTCGAGCAAGCGCACGGCGTCGCCGACGACGTCGTTGGCCTTGGCTCTGGACTCCTTGGTGGGGTTATTATTAGTATTCGGTGAGGCGCTGCTGCTGCTTGCCGTGTTCGACGACTGCTCCGACGACGAGACAGCCTTCTCAACGTTGGCCTTGACCTCGGCGCTCGCGAAGCCGGCGTCAAGCATGACGCGGCTGACGCTAGGGTCGTCGAGGATGGAGATGACGAGCTGCTCGAGCTCAACCTTGGCGGCGACGTGCTGGTGCTGGCCCTCCGCGGCGGACGCCGCCGAGCCGCCGCCCCGGCGCTGGTTCGCCTGCGCTCGCTTGAACGCGGCGGCGAGCGCGTTGGACAGCGCCGGCGCGCGGTGCCCTGCAGCCGCGTGGAACTGGAACATGGCCGGCGGGGCCGCCGGCCCCAGCACCCCCGCCGTCGCGAGGCGGTTGAGAGCGACGTTGAAGCAGAGCTCCAGCGCCTTGCACTGGAGCGGGTGGGAGCTCGCCCTCGACCGGAGGCAGGCGGCGCGGAGGAGGCCCCCGGCGTCCGAGAGCATGGCGCTGGCGACGTGCAGCGGCGTGACCTGCGCGTGGCCTCGGCGCCACGCCAGGCTCACCGCCTGCCGCATCACGGCCGCCGCGTCCCCGGCCAGCTCCTGCTGCACCGCGCAGCCGCCGCTACGCATCTCTTCGTCGTCTTCTTGTTCTTCTTCTCCCCTGTTGTCTACAGGAGCGTACGACGCCGGCCTGCCTCTGCCGAATCCTAGCGCTGGCTGCAGCTCGATCTTCTGGCTCCACTGCGGTTGCGGTACGTGTGCAGATGGACGCGTGCATCGAGGTTCAGGTGCTATATGTCGCCATGACACGCAGCAGGGGAGTAGACGAGGAGTCCTGGCTGGAGCAGTAATTGAGCTGCTATGAGTGTGTCGTCTTGCCTGACTAGGCAGTAGCAGTAGCAGGGAAGGGGAGGCTGTAGCTGTGACTTGTGACTTGTGAGCGACTGACACGGAGGAGGCGTTCAAGAGATTCGGTCGACTGTGGCTGTCGGGATGTATGCTGTGATCGTCATGTTGTACAAACTTATGATCAGATGCTAATTTTTGATCTCACGAGGTTTTCTTATATGAGTCCGTGTTGCCAATAACCGTGTTTTGGAAGTTTATGGCACCTAATTTTTTCCCATGCATTTACAATATTTTTTAGCTGTATTTACACTGTCTTATTATTATATTTATAATGCTTTCTTCAATGTAATTTATTGGATAGAGTGATGTAATTTGGAGAGATTGCAGATCTCAGAGAAATATACGCCATTTTTTTAGAAAAAATTACAAATTATTTTATGGGTTGCAGATATTAGAGAGACATATGTCAGATTGTTCACAAATTTTAGAAAAAATATAAATTATCCAAATATTGCGGTGGGACCCACCCTCCCAACCTTATCTTTTCCCTTCCCTTCCCTTCGGTTCCGTGAGCCGCCGCACAGCTCCTTCCTGCCTTGGCGTAGCGGCGACGAGCTCTCCTCGCCGGAGTCCACCTCCTCCCACTACCCCCAGCAGGCGCCCGCGACCCAGCAATGCCACCATCCCCAAATCCTCCAGCGGCGGCCTGCTATCCGCACATAAGCCGACCCAACGACCATGCAGCGCGGGGCGAGGGAGATGCGTGAATTCCTCTACCGCGTTGAGGCCGCCGCCGCCTCTCCGTGTCATGGTGCCAGCGCCGCCGCTGACGCGCTGGTTTCTGTCGAAGGCGGCAACCATAGGGAAGCGACGGCCGGTGTTGGAAAAAAATCAGGTACTCGAGAGAGGAAAAACAACCAAATGTTGTATAGCAATTGTCTATAAGAAATATGGTCTGGGAATGTTTCTAGCTTTGGATGCACGAAGGAGTTGAACTGTTTCATGTGAAATCTTGTGATCTGTTCTTTTGTTTTTAACGGGAGGCGGGGCGATGCTCAACCCTGTCAGTATCTAGCCACTGTCAAAAAAGTACAGGTCAGTCGCACTCCAAAAACTCAACTATGAGATAAAAAAGAAACAAAGAATGCATACTGAGACGCAAGCGGCAGGGCTCTGAAGCCCCGACCCACTGGCAACGGGCCCGCCGGATGAGGGCCGCTCACAGGTCGCGAGCCACGCCCCCTCACCTCGACCGGGGAGAGAGTCGACCCGGCCGGCTCCCGATCGGCCCACGAGTCGCCACGACCGCCGGCTCTAGGCGCGCCGACCCGAGCAGCTGGCAGGGTGACCCCCATTGTGGGTCACGCGCCGGCGCTGGCCCCGATGATGCGGGGGTGCAAGCCCGCTCCTTTGACCGCCTGGCCTGCCCCGCCGCGCCTGAAGCAGGTGGGGACAAGGCCGGCGACTCCTCCGAAGGGCGCGGCGACCGTGTCCGCTTCGCCTCCCGCTCACCGACGGCGTCCGAGCTCGCGGCGTGCTTCCTTGGCGCGGGAACGTCATCGTGCCTCTCTGCCTCCCGCCCACCGCCGGTAGACGCGCCGTAGGCTCGCGACGCTCTGCCGGCTCGCGACGCTCCGCCGAAGTCGCGACGACGCTCTGGCTACCTTCATTCTCGGAGGAGCTCGTGTCACCACCCATCTCTGTGGGATCCTTCGACTCGAGCTCCGCCTCTACGTCGCTCCTATTTTCGCCAGCCCACACTCACCGGGCGACCTCCTTCTCCTTCTGGTGCCGACGTGGAGCCTTCTCAGCTCTCTTCTTCTTCTTCCCATCCGCCGCCTCCTTCAGGGCAGCTTGCCGAGCCACGCCCTCTGGCCTCTTCGAAAGATGCAGTCGGGATTTATAACCGATGAGTCCCTGTGAAACGAACAACTTGAAGTCAAAATTACAGGAGAGCAAGATCGAAAGGGACATGGAATGAGGAAAGGAGAACGTACCAGATTGGGTAGCTTCCCAACGTGGAGAGGTCCGGGCTTTCCTTCGAGGGTCTCCCGGGCCTTCAGTTGCAGCACCTGGTCGAGTCGGCTCTAGGCTTCGTCCTTCGCCAACTCCACCGGTGACACACGGTCAGGGTCCGTCGGGCCGGAGTACAGCCACATCGGCCGTGTCCTTTCCGCCAGCGTGGTGACCCAACGGTGGAAGAAGGTGTGGAACAGCCACACCCCGTCGAGGCCGTGCTGCAATAGCTTCTGGAGCTCCGCCTCGATGATCCCCAGTTTATTCTACCGGCTAGAAGGGCCCCTGACTAGCTCTCCTGTCGCTTCGGCCTCCTACCAGTGAACGGCGGGAATGGCGCCTTCGCCGGGTTCTGGATGTAGAACCACTCCCCATGCCACCCCCGATTGCAGTCGCAGGGGGTGTACGCGTGGTAGGAACCCGACGAACTCGGCTTCTTCTGCAGGGCGAAGCCACCAACCAGCGCGTTCCTGGCCGGCTTCCCCTCCGACAAGGCCCGCCTGGTGAAGATCCATCGGAAGAAGTCCACGTGTGGCTCTATCCCGAGGAAGGCCTCATAGACGGTGACGAAGCTGGTGATGTGCAGCACCCCAGTTGGATTGAGGTGCTGTAGCTCCAGGCCCCACTCATTGAGGAGCCCACGCAGGAACCAGTGCGTGGGGTATCCTAGCCTGTGCTCATGGAAGGCGAGGAAGGAGACAACGTTGTTGGCCCGAGGTCACAAAAAGCCTCCCTCGTGGGAGCCCTCCAGTGCGCCACCTACTTCGGTGGAAGTTGTCCCTTCTCAGCGAAGGCGGCCCGCACCGTCTCATCCACGTTCGATGGCCTCTAGCTCGACATTGCGCTCCGGATTCATGAATGGATCTGTGAGTTTCTTCTCTCCCTCGCTCTACCCTTTTTCTCCTAGGAACCATCGCGACACACGAACGCTCTTGGCGAGAAGGAAGGAGGAGAGGCGGTAGTTGGGGAATAGGCGAAGGAACGGGACGAAGACCCTCTCCCTTCCCCTATTTAAGGAGAAGACACAACAGTTGGAGAAAGGCGAAGGGTTGGGGCAAAAAACATTCTCCCTTCCCCTATTCAATGCAGATGGGAACGCGATGGGAGGCGTCCTGACCGATGGGATGCGCCCTGCCTAACGAGACAGCGCCTGGTTAGACGGGACATGGCCTAGGCATGGCCCACCACTACCGCACGCCCGGCATGGGAAACAAGGCGCAACCGCACGCAGGCGGCCCTCCACCTTCCCAAGCAAGACCTAGAAGGGCCCAACAACGGGATCTCCACCCAGGAGAGACCAACGGGCTTCCTAAGTCGATCAGATGGCTCAGGCGAATGCCGAGAGATAGGTAAGGAGCAGAGGGACGCTCCATGTGGGCCATGCCGACTCCGTCACGAACGACGAACGCGGATCCCATTCGGACATATCCGATAAAGAACTCCTCAAACCTGTCACTTGGGTCATCAAGGTAACTCTATCGATCCCTCTTACTTTATTTTTTCTGATGCATGATCATTCATTCATCCATTCTCATATACGCATTCACACATTCATTCATACAATCATTCATTCATCCCATACATCAGAAGCATCGCATATGCAATTGATGCATCACAACGCTCCGTGTTGCGTCATGACGCGGTAGTTGCCTCATTCAACATGAGCAACGACCAACCGGGGTTCAAAGGTCGGACCGCGAAGGGCTCGAGGCCGCCTCATGTCAAACAGAGCCAGGGGAGAAAACACAGATGAGCCCCAGTGGCCCTCGCCCAATCTACTCAGAAGCAGACAGGGTCATCTCAACCTTCTTGTTCGATCCTAACCTCGAGCCATGCCCACAGAATCTCCATCGAGGGGAGGCCAGCGGGCCACCTGAGTCGATCTCCGGAACGATCCGGGCATCTGCCGGGACGCGGGTTAAGGAGCGGTGGAATGCCACATGAGGGCTATGCCGACCCCGTCACGAACGACGAACCTGTATTTCACTCGAACGTGCTCGTTAGCGAGCTCACCGAGTATGTCACTCGAGCCATCGAGGCAAGCGACATTAGCTCAGCCCCTCCGATTGCGGAAACCGCGGACGGGGTAACGCACGGAACTAGACCAACCCGTACCGAGCCCAATGGGGCTCAGGGGCTTAGGTCGCCCAACACCGACTCGGGAAATCAACCAACCGCGCAGGTCGTAGGTGAGACACACACGGGCAAAAACCTCGAACAGCGGAAACACAGGAGTCTGCGGCCCTAGGAAAGAGTACCAAGATACTCAGCCTCCAACCGACTCACCAGTCGAACGCAGGCTCGGGGGCTACACCCACGGGTGCGCTCACGTGCACCCGCTGTCAAAAGAAAAAATCCCCCGCTGGCAAAACGAAACCCCCCAGACGATTCTGCCCGAATCACCTAGGGGCTCGGGGGCTACACCCACGGGTGTGCTCGTGCGCACCCGCTGTCAAAACAAAAATTCCCTAGACGATCCTATCCGAATCGCCCGGGGGCTCGGGGGCTCCTGTCGGGTTCATAAACCCGGGGTCCCTCGTGGACCTGTTTCCTAGCAAAAAGCTCGGCCCAGTAGACGACGTTGCAAACGACACGCAACTCCTGGGCCGGCCCAAATACTTAACGACAGGCCAGAAGGGTGACCCAGTCTCCAATCGGAAGGCCTGGCCAAGGAGGAACGACGCTCGCTTTCGACTCCGACCCGCCTCCCCGACCGAAAGGCCTGGCCAAGGAGGAGCGGTGCTCGCTTCTAACTCCGGCCCGCC